CAGCAGGAAGAACTTGGCTGCAGGACCGAAATTTGAGCGTCACTAATAGTATTACAAGGGGATCAAGGCTTTTATAATGAGTTTAATAACTTGGGTGCAGAAAGAATCATTGGACACTGGAGAGTCTTAAAAAATTTTGTTGGCTTGGTGATTTTTATCACAATTCAAAATGGTGAATTTCTGGAGATGGAAAGTTTTGAACCAAGTGCATATATTCATATAGATATGTAGTTGCTAGAACTCAAAAATAAATATGAGACCATCACAATGTTATATAAATGGTGTCCATTTATAGTAAAAATTGGGGTGAAAGAATCTCCAAATAAAGAGTGTGAATTGTAATGAATTTGATTATGAAAATAGCAACATTCTTAAGTGACTCCCATAGCATCCTTACATCTTTTCCTCTCTCCTCTGCCCCTCTCAGTTTCTTAAAAAAGAGTGAATAATAAGATTTTTGAGTGTTTCCTGTGTGTCAAGTAATGAGCTATTGAGTTTTACATGCATTGTCTCATTATTTCTTATTACAGTTGCTTTGCGTGGGAAACTCAAGGCAAGAAAGGTTAAGCAAGTTCTCAGGTCACATACCTAGAGGGATGGAATATAGGAAATTAAACTCAGGTCTGCTTGAATCCAGATTTTGATGAATCGGTTGATTGAGGCCACTTAATCCCTTATTTCTCTTCTGTGTGGTGTGTGTATGTGTATATATGTGTGTGTGTGTGCATATATATATATATACCAGTTTTTTTTGCCTGGTACCCAAGTTTACCTAAAAGAGCAGCATCAGTATTACTAGGCATATCTCCATAGCTGGACATATCTGTAACTACACTAGGTGATTTGAAAAGAACTAGTCCTGGGTCTAGCACCCAGTACGGTGAGTGAGAAGCAGAGCATGGCCCTTGACCACTGGGCTCCTCCGGCCCAGGCAGCCTCCGCTCCATGTGAGGAGCTATGCTATGCTGTAGCATACAGTAGAGCTACAGTGTAGCTATGCTAAACTGGTCATATTTAGAAGATATTTTCGTATTATTAGTATTGTTCTATGTGCGTATTTTACTCCTTACTGCTATATATATACTATATATAGCTGACAATGTTAGGTGATTTTTTTTTTTTTTTTTTTGGCTGTACCATGCAGCTTGCAGGATCTCAGTTCCCTGACCAGGGATTGAACCTGGGCCATGGCAGTGAAAGTGCTGAATCCTAACCACTAGACCACCTGGGAACTCCCAGTTAGGTGCTTTTTAAGAAATATCTAGTCTTTCTAGATATTCTAAAGTGCCTGCCGTATGTTCAAAGTAGAGGTAGTAAAATAACACATTGTATAAATATCCTTTTATTAAAATTGATATGAAATATTGTCTTTTGGAAATGCAATTGCTAAACCACCCCTTTGTATGGTCCTGTGTTTTTGCACTGGTTCCAGGAAGGAGAGACAAGAAAGACATGCAAAGGACTCTATGCCAGTGTGATTATAGTTAGGCAGTGTTAAACATCATCTCATGTTCTGTGCATTTTATTTTACTTTGTATGAATAGCACATTTAATGGATAAATGAGTCCTAATTTTTCATCTCATCTTTCTGTATGTTAAAGAGGTTGCCAGTAAATAGAAGAAAATTAGTAAACTAATTCTTTTATAAATTTTGTGTTAAAATTTATTGGAAAGACTATCTTCTGAAAATGGCTTGTGGACGTTCAATTGTTAAAATTACCTCATATCAAATCAGTTATTGAGACCCATGAATTCTAGTAGCATTTTTCCTCGTTTTCTTAAAGAACTTGGACTCTGGAATTAGCCTGCTTGAGTTAGGGTCTTGGTTTACCAACCTGCTTAAAGCTTTCCAAGTCTCCTGTTTTCTCATTTTCAAAATAAGATAAAAATATCATCTGCCTTGGTGAGTTATTCTGAGAGTTAAGGTTGATAATAAATAGAAAGACTTAAAATGGTCACTGGCTTATACTAATTTCTCATTTTCTGTAATCCATTCTTATGGTTCTGTATGACCAGAGTATAGCATGCTTTTAGGAGACTTGGAGAAATTGCGTCTGAAAACTAGGCAGAGGCTGGGTTGAGAAGAGCCTCATTACCCTGTTAAGAGTTAGGATCAAATTCTCTATGTAAGAGGGAACTGTGTAAGGATCAACTTAAGATGAGGAGTGCCTGGTAAACCTTATGGCAAATCTTTATCAACAGGTCAAACATGGGCTACTGTGGTCTTCTAAGAAGGCCATGATGTGATCCTGAATGAGGCAGTAGAAATAGGGTACAGTAGAGTAGAATGAATCTGAATAAACATGACTTGTGATATTTTGAATGTAGGTGTTGAATAAGGAAGAGAGATCTAGGAAGAATTCCTTTCCTTCTTTGAATGACTAAGTAGATACCAGTGCTAAGGTAGTGAATGCAAAGCAAGAAGCAGTATTGGTGCATAGATAATGGCTAATGTAAGTTTGGATACGTTAAATATATGATACCTAAAAAAAAACTTTCAGGTGGGCATATACAATACACAGTTGGAGGTAAAGGGCTGGAACTTGGAAGGTTGGGCTGAAGTTACTGATTGGGATTCATCACAAATATAATGATATTTAAAAAAAATAGATGAGCCCACTGAGCTAATGAGAAAAAAAAATGCAGGTCAAGGGTAGAACTGCAAGAAATTCTGCACAGAAGGAAGTAGATAGTTACTGAAAAGACCAACTGGATTGGGTAACAAAGATGTCACTGATTTTCTTGGGGTGTGCCAGGCCAGTAGAGGAAAATGAACAGAAAGCAGATTGCAGCATTTGGGGAAGAGCAAAAGGGGAGGAACTGGAAATATGAATGTAGACCAATATTTTTTAAGAAGTTTAACAAACGGGAGGGAGAGAGGGGCCGTTAGCTAAAGAAATCTCATAGTTGAGGGATGCAGCTATTTTGTTTGCTTTATGTGTTTAAAATGAGGAAAGTCCGTTTGTAGGCTAAGGGAGGGAGGCTGTGGGGAAGGTGAATTTATGGATGAAGGGCCTTGTTTTATCATATACCTAATAGTTGAAGAACCCATTTTCTTTTCATCCAGAGTCATCCACTTATTTCCTTTATCTAGATATTTCCCCATATTATCCTTGAATCCTTTTTTGTTTCTTACCTCTTCTTCTTCCTGCTTTTATACTTACTCTGGTACCTATATTCTGCACCTATCTGTTGACATGTCTATTGGTGGTTATGGATAATACTGGTATTTTATTCAGGTAACACTTGTGTAGTTCATCAGGTAGAGTCAATGCTTGAACTCAACCCCGTGACCTAAGGAGAAATCTGGGTCCAAGATAGGTGAAATAAGGGTAGATAGGTCTGCATAGTGTTTTGACACTATTTAAATAACAGCTTTTAAAAGAAAAGTCACAATGCAAGGTATATACCCTTTTCTGCCTCAGTTGCACAGGTCAGAAGAGGACCAAACTATCACTCACAAATAACCTGAAACAGAAACCTTAAGGTCTGAACTTGTGTAACAGTTCAATGTTTCCTGACTCTTCTTTCACTTTCAGACTATCTTTTGGGAGGAATATGACCATCTCCGAGCTATGAAACACTTAGACAATCAGGAGAAATCGAGTTTTACTGTTATTAACAGACTCCAAAGACTTTCCTTATCTTTTTAATTTTTATTACTCCACAACTTGTACAATCCCTTAGATGTTTTATATTCAGAAGTCAGTGTCCAGCATTTTGAATTTTAATGGTATATTTATGCTCTGCTTACTTCTCCTATCTCCTGAAGAGTGTCTCTTGAAGAGTTATGGCTATGGTCATAAAATCCAATAAAGATGCATTTGTCAAAATGATTTTTTTTTCCAAACTCTGTCCCTGTTAAATTCATAAAAGAAACCAGATTTCCACAGATATTTGACTACTGTAGTGGAAATGATAAGAAGCGCAAGAGTCATCCAGGCACAGATATTAAAAAGAGCCACACGAAAGAAAGCCCTGTCGCTTATACTAAATTGTTCCTTCTCAAAAGACAAGGCAATCACCTAAATAGAAAAATTAATCATAAAGCATGTTAAATCATCAGGCATGAAAACAGTTGGGTTTCATGATTCATGATAACTAGTTTGGAGAACCAGAAGTTATAACTAAATAGACTTGTGAGAAGAACTCACAACTGGGTAAATTCATTTTATTTTCAGATTGAGCACACAAGGCAAATGCTTTACCAAAAAACAAAAAAAAAAGTCTCTTGGATTTATTTGGTCATTATTGTAAAACCTACATTTTGAAGTCAGGGATCCTCAGCACCATAGTGAGATTTTATATACCACCTGGTAAGTAAGTAAATGACTCAGGCAAAACCTCAAAATAAGAGAAGAGTTTGTCCTCAAGTTTCTGTCCCCTTTCCTTGTCATCATAGTTCCACAAAATTCAATGCCTTTTTTTCTTGTCCCTTGGTTGTTTCATACAATAGAGTCACAATAATAATAGTAAAATTGTATCACCCCGGTTTCAGCTGTCATAAGTAAAAATAGCTGGAAATATCAGACTCAGATTTTTCTTTACGATTTCAGGGGAGTAACTCAAATGTCCTATGTGTGCTTGCAATGAACTGTGACTATCAATTTTTTTCCACTTCATATTTTTTATCTTTTAGTTTGACACTCGACATAATCCATTCATTCTGTGGTCACTGTGTTCACTTCCAGTGGAGAATTTGTTCCTGTTATGTCTCTTTAATTACCATGTTGGCTCCAGGTTAGGACAGTTGTGAGGCTTTTCAGTTTATGAAACTGACTTAGCTATTTCACCATGTTCCATTTCTTTTCCTAACCTGCGTTTACCTGTGCTTTTCTCCTCCTACTTTGAAGATACGTTGAGGACACAGCTCATTGACATAGTCCTTCCTCTCGCCCCTTCTCACTAGGACTCTCTTATAAGTCACTTTGGTCTGGGGCAAAAGATAATCTAAGTGACTCAATGGAATATAAACAGATTTGATCCCTTTCATAAATCCTCTTACATTTTCCATACACTGAAGCCTTCTGCATCTTTTCTCCTTTTACTCTCAGATAGGCCTATTGGGTCTTCTTTTTGAGAGGTTTAGTGGAGGACTCTTTATTGTCTGATGGATTAGAGGTGAATGACCTGAGGACTAGCCATTAGTCCTAAGGTATCCAGTTGTTAGTGACACGATTAAAATTCTATTTCCTTTCTTGTCTTCAGTCATATAGTAAAGCAAGTCTATAAGCAAGGATCAGGCCTGAGAACATCTGATTTTGCCATAGATATAAAGGTTAATTCTGTGGTACCTTCATTCTGTAGACATTGTCAAGTTACAAACCAGAATTATTTGGTTATTACTGAAATATTTCCAGGAGCTTTATACAAATAATTGGTGTCCCCACTCTACACTTTACCATCATGTGAAAAACAGGGCTACTTTTCATAAAGATCCATATTTTCCCCCAATATAAATCATTAAATGTCCTTTGGAATCCATGCTTATCTTTTCATATGAAAAACTAGACCTAATTTAAATTAAGATGGAATTTTATTACATTAAGCCTTCATCTTTAAAAACTATTTGGCCATCATCTTTATCAAAAAAATTGCAAATTAGGACAGTATTGTTAGTCTTTATTTTGTTGGTCAGGAAATGAGGGACAGGGAGAGGTTGAGTCACCTGGGACTATAGAAAGTCAATAGCAAAATGTGGACAGAAAATAATATTACAGGGACTTCGCTGGTGGTCCAGTGGTTAAGACTCCACGGTCCCAATGCAGGGGGCCCGGGTTCGATCCCTGGTCAGGGAGCTGGATCCCGCATGCCACAACTAAGACCCGGCACACCCAAATAAATAAATAAATAGTAAAAAAAAAAAATATTACAGACTCCCTGGAAACCTTTGTTACTTGGTTTGTTTACTTATTATCTACTGAGCAGCAAAATCTCCTAATATAAAGAAAAATCATAGTTCAAGGTTTTTAGCCTCTTATAATTTAGTTATTTCTAAAAATAGGGAAA